CCATCTGGAGTTAGTTTTTGTGTATGGTGTGAGGTATGGATCTTGTTTCATTTTTCTGCAAATGGATATCCAGTTTTGCCAGCACCATTTGTTAAAGAGACCATCTCTGCCATTTAATGGATTTTAGCCCTTTGTCAAAAATCAGCTGACCGTAGGTCAATGGATCTATTTCTAGGTTCGCAGTTCTGTTCCATGGGTCTGTGTGTCTCTTGTACCAGTAAGAGGCTGTTTTGACTACTGTGGCTATATAGTAGGTTTTGAGATCTGGGAGTGTGAGACCGCCTACTTTGTTCTTCAGTAGTATATAAAGTGGAGTGTAGTCTTTAGGGCACACACTGTATTGTGAAAACTCTTATTAATGAAAAAGTATTTCACCTTCATGATACCTTTATTTTATCCACATTCTGTGTATTTGTGGTCCTTAAAAAAAGAAGGAAGAAAAGAAACTTATTGCTAAAACAAGATAAACATCTTAGTAGGCTAGATATGGAATACAAATCCAGGGTGTAAGGCTAAAACTTTTAAGTGTAGTGGACTCTGGTAACCAGTGGTTTGACTTCTGAAGGTACGAAGTGTGGTTTGTTGCTTCAAAACAGGGCCTAACAATGGGCTTTTCTACCCATTAAAAAAAATTTTGATAAAACTTGTTTATTAATGTCTGGGTTTATGGCTTAGGTGAAGCTGTGTGTATCCAGGGAGGTGGGAGCATCCTGACTCTGCTGTGTAACAGTACCTCAGCCTGCTCACTCTTGGTGATAGGATCTGTACCTAGACTGTACCATGGGATGAGAGCACCAAGCCAATTAATACACGATTTGGTACTGGACCAGAGGTGCACAGGGTCTACACGAAGGCAGCTGTAGAAGCACAGGGGTCACCAGATTACAAATGAGTTCTGTTCCTAAGTCTGTCTTTAAATCAGATTTCTACATAAGTCAGAACAGTTAAGTATGGTTTGTATCTAACATCAGTCAAATCTATCTTTCTATTTGTAGAAAATATTAAAGAAATGAACTAAAGCATCTTTAACGTAATATAGTAATAATAATGTTTTGATGTGCATCACAAAGTAGCACTCATTTGTTATCATAAACCTTTGTATATTGCTGGTGGCATAGACAGTGAGTACTCTGAGGCCCCTGCGTGGGCGGTGGCAAGCCTGTGCTGAGAATGCCCTCCTCTGGCAGCAGTGGCTGAAATCTTGTCCTTTCACGTCTAAACTCTCACTCCCCACTGTCTCTAGGTGTCTGATGTTTGACTTGGGCTGTGTAGTATAGGGCCAGGGACCAGGCCAAGGTTAGGCTGTGCTGAGACACTGGACAAGCCCAGATGGAGCCTGTGCTGGTTCTGGGGCTGCAGTGGAGGCACTGTGCTGCTGTGTGACTGTGTACCACCATAGCCTTCTGGGCTAGGTTCAAGTGGCTGCCGTGGTGTCTGAGCTGGGTGGGTGTGGGGAGCATCCACCAGGTGCTGCAGGATGCCACTTGGCCCTGTCCTATGCATGGTCTCTGCATTTGCACTCAAGGAAAGATACATGGGCGTTGGTTCATAACTACGGGTTGTCTGTAAGTCAGACATTTTTAACCTGAGAACTGCTTGTACTAGTCAAAGAAGGATGAGCACAGATCAGGAGGAAATAAAACCAATACAAAATGGAACCCTCCATTCAAGAGAAATTCTGTCAGCCAAAATTTCAAACAATAAGAAGAAAACTAGTAATATGAAAGAGAAAGACTTATTTCAGTTTCTGTATCTCTAAGCAGTATGGACATTTTCTTACCTAACCACAATGCCATTATCACATCCACTTGCCCTTGTATAATCATATCTCCCCAGTTATCTCCAAAATATCTTTTTATCTTTGGTTGGTTATTTTCAAACCAGGACCCAGACAAATTGTACTCATTATTTGGTTGATACGTCTCTAGCCATCTGACGAGGATGGGATTCTGCTACATGGGCAGAGCACAGCTCCTTAGCAGTCTTCACAACTGGACCAATAGGCAACATCGTGATAAATGGAGAAAGACTGAAGTTGTCAGGGATTTCATTTTACTTGGATCCACAATTAATGCCCATGGAAGCAGCAGTCATTAAATCAGATGACATATTGCACTGGGCAAATCTCTTACGGAAGACCTCTTTAAAATATTAAAGAGCAGAGATGTCACTTGGAAGACTAAGGTGTGCCTGACCCAAGCCATGGTATTTCAGTAGCAGAAATTAATGCATTTGAATTTTGGTGTTGGTAAAGAGTATAGTGAAAATACGATAGTCTGCGAGAAGAATGAATTAATCTGTTTTATAAGAAGTACAGCTGGGAGCTCTGGTAGCGTAGTGGCTAAGGCATTTGACTGCTAACCAGAAGGCTGGCGGTTCAAACCCACCCACCACTCCTCTGAAGGAAGATGGGGCAATCTACTTCCTTAGTGATACTGCCTCGGAAACCCAAGGAGTGGTCACTATGAGTCAAGTCGAGTCTGACTCGATGGCACATAACAACAACAACAACAACATAGCTGGAATGCTTCTTAGAAGTGGGAATGGCCAGATTTGTTTGTCTCACATACTTTGGTGATTTTGTCAGACAGGACCAGTCCCTGGAGAAAGGTATCATGCTAGGTAAAGTAGAGGGGCAGTGAAAACGGGGAAGGCCCTCAGCAAGAGGGATGGACCCAGTGGCTGCAACAGTAGGCTTCAGTGTGGCAAAGGTTGTGGGGTGGGGCAGGACCAGGCAGCGTTTCATTCTTTTGTAGTAGGGTCACTGTGAGTCGGAACCAGCTTGATGGCACTTAACAATAACAACTAACAACATGTCTCTTTAAATTTTAAGTTTTCCTTAATCTAAAATAGTCTGTCTCAGCTCCCACTTGTTAACTCTTTTTTCTCTATGCCATTGACTTGTACAAATAGATCAGTGGAACTGTATATTATGCCAAATTCTGGATTTGGCTGAGTATTTCCTTGTGATGTCATTTCACTTTGTCCTCTAACTTCCATGTTTCCTGTAAATGAACTTTTTGGTCTCAGGGCCCTTTTATCCTTTTAAATTATTGAGGACACCAAATATCTTTCAGTTACATGGTTATATCTCTAGATTTTACTGTATTAGAAATCAAAGCTGAGAAATTTAACAAATATTTACTTGTTGTTGTTACATGCCTTCGAGTTGGACCCGACTCATAGTGACCCCTCCTTGGGTTTCCAAGGCAGTATCACTACGGAAGTAGATTGCCTAACCTTCCTCTGAGGTGGCATCACTAAGGAAGTAGATTGCCCAACCTTCCTTCCGAGTAGTGGCTGGTGGGTTTAAACCACCAGCCTTCTTGTTAGCAGTCAAGTGCCTTAGGCACTGCAGTACCAGAGCTCCTTGAATATTTACTACTTTACTAAAATATAACAATAATGAGCCCATTACTTGTTACGAATAACATTTTAAAATAAAAAATAAGTATATTTTCCAAAATAAACATGTGAGAAGAGTTTTACATTTTTGCAAATCTCTGATATCTTCCTTAATACAAGATAATTGGATTCTCATTTCTGGTTCTGGATTAATTACGTTGTACAACATCACACACCAAGCAGCCTATGAAAAACTGCACTGTACATGCTTGAAAGAATGACAATGCAAAAGAGAAATGAACTTTCTATGTTATAAGAATCATTTTGACCTCATGGATCACCCAGAAAGGTCTAATGGGTCACATTTTCAGAAACCACTGCTCTTACAGAGCAGCTTCATTAGATTCAGGTTCAACTTTTTTTGGTAAGAAATACTTTATAGGGGTGTTGCATTCTTTGTATTTTATCATTCTCACTGCCATCAAGTCATTCCAACTCATAATGACCCCTTTTGGGTTTCCGAGGCAGTAAATGTTTACGGAAGTAGATTGCCCCACCTTCCTCCTGCGGAGTAGCTGGTGAGTTTGAACCACTGACCTTCTGGTTAGCAACCAAATGCCTTACCCACTACACCACCAGAGCTCCTTATATTTTGTCATTAGGAGGAACATAATAGCTAGTTGTCTCACTTAATGATTCTGAGATTCGAGTCGGATTCTACTTGATGGCAGTGAGTTAAGATATAGTCACGTATGGTGATCTTTTTCCTTGTAAGTCTAGGCTTCCAAGAAAATGAAAGAAAGGTTGAACCATAATTTGCAATCTTATTGTTGAAAAGGACTGTAGGAATTGGGTGCTTTTCTGTCTTATTTTACAAAAGCATGAAGAGAAGTTCTGACTTTACCCAGCTTTACACAGTGAGTTTGGTGCCAGAGTTGAGACCAGAGACTTAATTTTCCCAGTCTTTCTACCTCTCGTTCTATACCATTTCTCTTAAGCACGTTACTTAAGTTTGGAATGAAATTTTTTTGTTAAAATTAAACTATTAATTTCTTATTATAAATTATGTGCTTTATACATACAACATTAGACATTTACATCTAATTGTAGTACTATTATAGCTGTTACACTCAGTAGAAAAATACTATCTTATGTTCATTTTTATGTATTTTAAAAATTTAGAAACACTTTGAGGATTCAAAGTATTGTTGCTTTCTTGACATACGGATGATCAGATTTTGACCACTCTTTTGCTTATCAGGAAGCCTGCAGATCTGCAGAACTTGGCTCCCGGGACCCACCCACCATTTATAACTTTCAACAATGAAGTCAAAACGGATGTAAATAAGATTGAGGAATTTCTTGAAGAAGTCTTATGCCCTCCTAAGTGAGTATAAAACAAAATATGCATGGCAGTATTGACCCTTAGAAACCTTGCTCAGTGTTAATTTGCAATCTCTAGGAGTCCCTTTTAAGGTTATTTATAATTAATGCTATATAGATGTCAGAATTGGTTTTCAGCTAGGCCCGTAAGCCATACTAAGAGGGGTGGGAAGCTAGCTAAGCTGTATAGCAGCTGTAAAGCAGTTTGGGGCCAGGTGAGATAGGTCAGGAGAAACTGGTTATTTGAGGGAAATAGGCCCCAAACTGAGAAGTTTAGGGTTTGAGAAGGGACGAGGGAAAGCCAGGTGCAGACTGAACCCAGCAGTCAGAATGTTTAAGCAGGAGTGTGTGTAGCACAGGCTGTCAGACAATCAATTTGCTCTCAGGCCTTTTTAAAGTTAACTTTTACTAACTTCCAAGGGAATTTACTTTTTGGACTTTGTCCTTGGGATTCAGTTTTTTATTTATTTTTGAGGTGTTTCAGGTCCCCATAGTTTTTTTTAAAGTTAACTTTAAAAGGATTTTGAAGTACTTAAGTAGTTCCCAAGATGTGTGAGGTACAGCTGAAGAATAGATGTAAAGAAAAATAGGTACCTAAATTGCAAATGTGTAGTTTTGCATCATATTTCAATGCATGATTGGTTTCTCTTAGGCTTTTTCAGTTTCACTGTCCTGAAAACAGAAATGTTTTGTTTCAGTCTTTTCCTTTGACCCTAGCCTTGTTGCTACTTATAACTTGACTTTTACAAAAAACCCTCCATGTCCACATAAGTTTCCATGAATGAGATTAGTGAGTTGGAGGGCGCTAAAATAGTCGATCACTCAATATTTGACCATTTATTTATTTGTTCATTCTGTAGTTTACTGAGCAACAAAGCACTGAGGATACACTATTGAGTAAGGCAGAGTTCCTGCCCTCAGGAAACATGGTCAAGTGTGGGCTGGTAGGGGTGGGAAAGTGAATGGAATCAGGAAAGTCTTTAGAGAAGAGAGAATTTTGAACTGAACTTTAATTAGAAAATAAAAAAGGTGACATTTGGCAGGTGAATGAAAGAGTGACAAGCATTCTAGGCAGGAGGAATATTTTTAATAATGTTTTTGTGGGGGACCTAAAAGTGGTTCAGTCAGTGAAAAGGACAAGGTTGGGGACAGTGGTAGGACGTTGCTAGAAGTATGAGTAATAACACCTCTCCCTACCACTTAGATGGAGTTGTCTGTCTTCTTTTGTGAGCAGAACTGCCCTCTGTTGGACAATCTTCTGTTTAACCTAAAATTTCATTTTCTTTCTTTTTTGTCACAAGGCAGATTGTATTTTTTTCAAGTTACAAAAATATGAGCATGTTAAAAATACAGTATAGTCCACATAGAGAGTAGTTTCAGCCAATTAAAGTTATACAGAACTTGGAAAAGGCATTCACACGTAAGTCTTAAAAACATACGATTAGTGAATAGTACACAATCATTTGTTCAATTCCGTTAATACTAGTTACCTGCAGCTGGTATCTGAGACTGTGCTCCCTAAGGGGAAGGAGTAGTGTGTGAGCAGTCAGATTGTTGCTAAAGCTGTGGTTTTAAAAAGCTGATTTAAAATAATAAGTTCATTTTGAGGAGAATATAACTGCAAGTTTATATTATAAGAAGGCTTGGATAATTTCTCAATTTCTGTTCTAGCCTCTTATTTTGTTAATATAAAAGAGATGTAGTGTGGCAGTTTGAGGCAAGAGGAAACGAATTACTGGTTTTAAAATTAAGTGATAAGAAACTTAATTTTGAGTTGCAATGTAGAAACAAAGCTTGCAAATATAGCTTAAAAACATTTTTAAAAAATTAAAAAAATGGAAAAGATGTTACAGTTTAGCTAAAAACTAAAGCTAGGTTTCTTTCTCTTTAGAAGTTGAGACATCAAATTAATCTATTTGTTACTTTGAAGTCTGTGGGTTTATAAAGATCTGTGCTTAATTTTTCCTTTAAAAAGTCAAACGATCCTCAAATATGATGGTGAAATCAGAACATTTCCAGATAAGCAGAAATTAAAGGAATTTGTTAAAACCAGACCAACCTTACAAGAGATGCTAAAGGAAGCCCTGTGGACAGAAGTAACAGCAGCCAACAACTGACCATTAACACACATGATAATATAACCCAGAAACTAACCCAGCTATGGAAGTATCCAAAGTAAATAA